AAAAAAAAAAAAAAAAAAAAAAAAGAAATCACTCCAGAAAGGAAAGCGCAAGGCGCACTTGGCATTTCAAACAACGACTGAGGATGATTCACAACCTCCGCCAACAGGAGTGTTTTGGATGAAAAATATACTAGAAAAAGATACTTTTTTAATCACTACTTTCCCCCCTTACCAAGTCATCATCTTTCTCTCTTCTATCCCAATTTGCTGTTTATAAACATGTGTGTGTCCCCCAACTCAGCCTGGCAGTGGCAGATAGACCTCCCGCTCCTGCCCCTCGCCCATCACGTTGCTCCGTCGCATTGGAAAGCAAGGTCCCAGCTGGATATCCTCACCTTTGGCAGAGGAATTTCTGTATTAAACCTGGATTTGGCTCCATTTCCATCGCATCCCAGAGCCTAGCAAGGTGTGATTATTGTTGGGTTATTTGCTGATGCAAAATTCACCACTCGATAATGTCACTGCCAGCAGATGTGTCACCTCTGCAGGAAAAAAAAAGGTTTCCTGGCTGAAAGCCAAATCTTCGCCTCCTGCCAGTACAATTTTATCCCTGGCTTGCTCCTGGCGAGGATGATGCCACATGGAGATCTGGCACATGGGTCTGGTCTGGCACTCAAGCAACCAGCAAATGCTCAGCCCTGCATGCTGCAAGTACCTGGGTGCAAACTGGACCTCTCTGCCATCATCCCAGGCCAGCAGACATTTAGGGTTGGGTTTCTCTTACATTCCAGGTTTGCAAAAGCTTTTCTCCAGAGCAAAGCACCAAGGGGCAATGGTAGCAGCCGATCCCCTTCTGCTTACAAATTGTCTATTTTTGTACCCAGTTCTGAGTGCAGGGTATCCCACTGGTGGCTGCAGGAATTTGGGAAAGCTTCATCCATCCTTTCTTACATTGAATTGGATTCTGGGGTTTGGGATGGCTGGTTTCATCCTGCTGCTTGTTTTCTTGGAGTCAGGGCTAATCACCTTGTTGACGGCTGTCTCAATGTTTTCTAAAAATCAACAGGCAGACTCCACAGGCAGAATTTGCTCTGAATAAACTACAGGAAAGATGTGACCTTATTTTTTTCCCCTGCATCGCAATTGCATTTCAGAGCCAGCATCACAGGAAGGGCTTTGGGCCAGCCAATGCATCTGCCCAGGGTTCAACTATTAAGATTCCTTGCCTGGCCTTAGCTCACGTGAAGGAGGAGGTAAAAGCCCAGCCCAGAGCAGAGCTCAGCACTGGGATGCTGCAGGATCTGGATCTCAGGGGAGCTCAGCTGAGCAGAACCATCCCAGCTCTGGCATGAGGTTCAGTGACCCGGGAGCGATGCTCATGCTCTCAGCCACCATCACATATCCCTTCCCGAATGCCTTTGCTTGCAAAACACTGCTAACACACCCCTCTGACCTCGTGCGCTCACTCAACACTTTTCACGCTGCAAGCAGCGCCCAGCAAGTGAATTAATTGGAGAATGCAAGCTGGGAGAAGCAGGACATAATTAAAGGGTACACGTTGCCTTAGTACTGCCTGCCTTCAATTTCTGTCCTGCCTCGAGTCTTTCTCCGCTTACTTTTTCATACTACCGAAGCACACTCCCACCTTGCTAAGATTTTCAGAAGGCTTCTAAGGAAGATTGCTGAGTCTTCAGAAACTTTAGTAAACCTCAAATTGGGTTTTCATGCTGCAGAGAGTTTAGGGAAACACATTTATCTTTTAGGGAACTGCAAAAGAGAAGCTATTTAGAAAAGTCATACAAGCCAGCACTTGAAGTAGACACCTGGTGGATCTGCTGTGGGAGGGGAGGACGAGCTGTACTGGAGAAAAAATACCTGTGCATTCAAGAGAACATGGTAACTGAATTTCATCTTTCCAGTTCTCCTTTCCCCAATTCCTGTGCACACCCCAAGGGCCATAGGTGTCACTGCTCTGGAACAGGCTGAGATGCCCAGCTCCAAACTGGTGCCCAGCAGCTCTCCCCCCGCCTTGCCCTTGCCCGGAGCAGCGCAGCAGTCACTTGCTCCATCCTCAGCCCCCACTCATCCCGCGCAGCTGCACTCACAAAGGCTCAATATATTTAGATGCTGCTGCAGTTCCACATGCTTGAAATTAAAGAAAAGCTCTGCAAAACATTTTTTCCTGCTGCTACTTCCTTCCCATATCTTTTCTCTACTACAACATTAGCTCTTGGTGAAACTGTAAGGATGATAAATAAAATCTCTGCACCAGATAAGACGACAACTCCTTTCAAAGCCTGGATCTATTTTAACCAGAAGAGCTCTTCTTGGCAGAATAGCCCTTACTTCTATGACTTGTGATATAGGGTGACTTTCACATTTCACTCTATTTTAAAATCAAATCTCAAAGTATGTTGGAAAAAATGAGCTAACACCTCAGGCACCTGCCCCATGAGCACAACCAGCATCAGTTGGGGATGGAGCTGAAGGGGTGCCCATTGCCACAGCAGGCACCAAATGCAGGCAGAGTCCGGGTCCTTGCCCGCTCCTGCCTTTACCCACTTGCCCCTGATGCGGCAGCACAGGAGCCCAGCACACCCAGATGCTTTTCCAAAGACCAGTCAGCACTTCTGCCTCTCTGTGCCAGCACCTCTGACCCCCAGGGGAACAAGGACCCCCCTTTAATGCAGGGTTGGGGGGGGCCCAGCAGAGCTGAGCATCCATCCCTGGGGGTGTCTCTGTGCTTCCCAGGGGCTTCATGCTCCTGATGCCCAGCCTTGTATCACGGGAAGGTGCCTGTAGCAAGAAAAAAGCCTCCTCCTTCCTACAACATTTGGGGTTATATATATATATGTGTACTTTTAAGCATTCTTCATGTGAGCAGATCAACTGCCATCAAGGAAATTACTCGCATGAGTAACACCATCAGGAGTTCTCCAGTCCATCGCACACACTCTTACCCGGCAGCTGAACGCCAGCAGCTACATACAAAAGCCTGCAGGAACCACAGCATCACTGCAGGACCCGCAGGGCCAGCACATACGTGCCACTGTGCTTATAGATGCCCTTTTTGATGAAATAGTGATAAGATAAAATATTGATAAGATATTCTTCAGTTTTGAAATCCGTATGGAACAGAAGTAACAAGGTACACAGACCGGATAAAATAAAATAAAAAATCTGCCCTGCAGCCCAGGCAGATTGCCCTCCCCCAAGACTGGAGCGCTGACACTTAAAGCTTGGGGGGCACTCACAGATATCTCAGTTGTGGTCTCTGTGGGCTGTCCCTCATGGGGATGAAGCTTTATGGCATGAAATCCTTCTAATAAAGCCTTGTACAGTTCCACTCGGGCACTATGGGTGGAAAGCATCGCCTCACGCCATGAGCAAGCCCTCAGCTGATGCGCAGAGGGGTTATTAACACACACCAGGGCCTCCGTCATGAGCCATCTGCAAGACTGAGCCCAGGCTGGGGCTCTCAGAGCACACTTTTTTACTGAGATACAAGCAGAGCAGCTACCACGACCCAGGACAGCCTGCGGCTGCAGAGGTTACTCACCCAAGCCCAGGCACGAGACTCTCAACCCAGATTTTCCAAGGTTTCTAGAAGGAAAAGAAAATAATTAGAAAATATTGTTAAGCCCTCAAGGGACACACAAATAACCCAGTGGGAAACCAGCAGCTGAAGAAGATGGGAGCCTGCTTTGGTCCAAATCACCCATTCTCCTCTGAAAGGGGCATATTCTCCCTCCCTGGGGATGCCAGCTGCCTAGTTTGGATAAGGGTGGATACGCTGCCATCCCCCTTTGCCTCACTAGGCTGTGGGAGAAGCTCCAAGCACTCTTGGGGCTGGGAATAAACCAAAATACATCCAGGTGTATCTCACACCTGATGTCATGTGGGGTCCCATGAATAAGGCACACGCCTTCACTTCCATCATCATTTGGTATTCATTGCAGTAACAGTGATTAAAGCATTTGCTTTATTCACCTTCACTTTTTTTTTATTCACCCTCACACTTGTCAAAACATTCACATCCATCACAGCAAACCCCTGGTCTGGGTACTGCTTGGGCTCCCAAGCTCATGGGTTCCCCAGGAACAAAACACCCTGTGATTTCCCAGCCGGAGGGGAGGGAGCAGCTTGATCCCCAACACCGGCTGCTTTTCAACCTAAGTGAGATAAAGTCATCACCCTTCTCCCCACCTCCCAGAGGCAGGCTGGAGACAAGATAATTAGCCCTGAGGCCATGAAATGTGCCGTACATTAAACCCCTACCCTAACTTAAACTTATCACTGCAGTACAAAATACCCTTTTAATTATATCCTCCCGCTTTAACCTTTATGTTACAGCTGGATCTGTGCAATTTTTTTTGCCAGATCAAGGTATAATTTGGGGACCATCTATCTACCTTCCACTGCAGAGCACCGTGAAGAATCACTGCACTTTTTGCTATTCCTAATGAATTATTTAAAGCCAAATAATAATAAAAAAAAATAATAAGCCCTGCTCACCAGCAGTGAAAGGGGTCAGACAGCAGATATGACATTAGCACAGGTCGTGCCCTGCTCTTTCAAGCTCCCTCTCTTTTTACACACTTGATTTTGTGGCCATTTCAGGTATTTGCTCATAGGGCACAATCTCCCGCATGGGAGAACCACCAAAGGCACCCCCAGGGAAACCAGGGGAGCCAGCATGACTGGGGCAGGGGTGCCCACCTTCCCACCCCTCCTCAGGGCCCCCTAATGCTGCTGCTGTATACAGAATTTGGCACTGCTAATGGGCATTTAAAACTTAAGGAGAGCCAGGGATTTGCCCTCGAGTAGATATTTTAAAAGCTAGAGCTGCATTTCCAGCACCACAACCCCTGGGCTCATAGCACGGTTGGGGCAGGCACTGACCTGATTTTTTTTTTTTCTCTCCTTTTTTTTTTTTTTAGTGAAAGCACAGCTTGGACCCCTGCATAAAAAAACCCATCCATGCACAGAATAGCACAAACGGTGCCAATCATCCCCTGCTCGCCAGCACAAAGCATAACCCTCCAAAAGTTAAAAGGCAAATACCCCGCAGCCGCCTACATGCTCCGGAGCGAGCTGCACCCCTTCCAGCAGGAAAGAGGAGCCCAGGCTCACAGGATTGGGATTTCCACATTACTTCTGGAGACAGCCCACCCGCTGCATAATGCTCTTCAGAGAAGTCAAGTGCTACTGTGCATTTCCAAACACTTCACATATATTTTGTACAGGAGGGTTTTTTAAGTCCTATTTCTCACTGAGCTACTCGTTGCCTTTCAAAGCTTGGCTCTGTCTCTGCACAGGCACATGGCTGTCAGGGCACAGCTTGGCCATGGAGCTGTATACAGATATAAATATAGATACCCACACGTACCCTTTATATATACGCCTTTATATGCATGTACATACCCTTTATATATATAAGCATATACAAATGCATACATGTACATATAGCGTGAGTGAAACCCTCTCGTGCTTGCATGCATTTATAGGCCACACCACTCTCCCCAGCAGCAGGGTCTGTCTCAGGGTCTCAGCCCAGGTACAGGTTGGCTGTCCCCGTCATAGAATCGTCTAGGTTGGAAAAGACCTTGAAGATCATCAAGTCCAACCTTTAACCTAACCCTGCCATCCCACCACTAAACCATGTCCCTAAAAGCACCTCATCTGCCGGCTTTTAAATACCTCCAGGGATGAGGATTCAACCACCTCCCTGGACAGCCCGTTCCAGAGCCTGACAACCCTTTCTGTGAAGAAATTTTTCCTAATGTCCAACCTAAACCTGCCCTGGAGCAACTTCAGACCATTTCCCCTCGTCCTATCATCCGTTACCAGGGAGAAGATGCCGACCCCCACCTCGCTACAGCCTCCTTTCAGTACAGTTGTCCTCCTTCCCTACAGGTCCCCCATCCCACAAAGCAACATCAGGGCTTGTCCCTCCACACGCCAGGCACCTGGGGGGTAAAGCACACACACAGGAACCCAGTTTCGCTCTGGAGAGCAATGACCAGTTCTCTGCAGAGTCTGGTCCACCAAAGAATCTGGGCAGAAATACTGTGTTTGAATTTCCAAAGCCATCTTTGCCATTTATTTAACATACACATGACCTGGGTACTAGGAAAGTTTTATGTCTATAGTAAAGACCCAACACAGAAAATGCCAGGTCTTTGTCATGCAAGATCCCTCGTGCAAAATGAGCTCAGGGGCTGCTCCGCCGCTCAGGAGGAGGTTGCCCAAGCCTGCAGTCCAGCCTGGAGAGCATCGCCAGGTCATAGCCCCCAGCTACTCCCATCATTTTCAGCCCTCATTTGCCAGTGAGCACTTCACTAAACTGCACGCTCTAATTAACGGGCAGGCAGCCTGAAAGCAAAGTGGCCACATCAACACATGGAGCCACAAAACCAGCTAAAAACTTGGCCTGCTTGGGATGGCTTCCCTTCCAGCACAGATCTTATGCTGCTTAAAAGCATGCAGCCGCTGATTTGATTACTGGCCCTACAGCAGAGCTGTAATTTGTCTGAAATAGCAACTGTGCCTGAGACCTGGTTCTCCTCTACTCACCCACTCCCAAAAAAACCCACCAAACCAAAAACCCACCAAGCAAAAATATGTATGTATACATTTACATCTATTTTGCAGCTTCCAGGTACACGTATATGTGTAGATATATTACACACACATGCCTAGAAGCTGCAAAATCACCAAGTAAAATCAATGGTTGGTTTCTAAGTAACCGGACAGTAAAAGCCCTCTGTGCTTCCATCTCACTAATTCCCAGGTCTGAGACAATTAACCAGCTCAGTCCCCAGCAGCCCATGCAAACAACTGAGGGTGGCTGTGCTGGGAGCGGTGGTTGAGGTAGCAATCGGGATGGCAAGACAAGCAAACCCAGACTCTGATGAAGCCCAAGGAGCCCAGTCATCATCAGCTGCTCTGGCCATGCATGGACTGAGCATCCTCCCTGGGCAAAGCTGCTGGAGTGCTGGTGCCCACAGGTACCAGGGCAGGGCACTGCCAAAGAGCTGTGATTCCCATCCACAGGGAATGGCATGGGATGGGGAAATCATCTGGGAAAGGGCAGGGGGGGCTCCTGCCATCACCCTCCCAAGCAGTCGTGGACATCTGGGATTTTCATGGGCTGGTGGTGGAAGCTCTAGGCAACATTCTCAAAGCCAGAAATGATCTTTTCTAGAAATCCAGAGTAATTGTATGAACTAGAACTCAGCTATTGCTGAGCTGACACTCAAGTGCCTTCCCTGGGGGATGCTGAAGCATCTGGCCAATCCTGTAGAGGGGCCATTGCCCCCACACCCCAAAGCCCACCTCCCCACCACCACCCTGCTTGGGCCAGATCCATCAAGGCTCTCTACACAGAAAACTGGCTGGGCAAAGCCACATCCCACCACAGTGCTTGGCTCCAGGGCTCCGTGGAGGAAAGTGGAAGATGGTGTTTTTGTGCATCTTTTTGTTCATAACTATCAGTCAGTGCATTGGTGTTATGGCCCTGGTTGCCTGTCTTTATTCAGCACTTGCTAACGCCAAGCAGGGAGGAGATAGGGTTTCACCATGGGCAGCCACGAGCATCCACGAGCAGTGGTGCCCAACATCCCTCTTGCACAGCAGCCAGCACCAGCAGCACTATTCGCTGCTGTTAAACAAAGTCCTGTGCCTGTCATTCCATCTCCAACCTTTCCTGCACGGAGCATGCAGCACAGCCCACCTCCCAGATACCTGGCACTGACACCGCTCCTGGAGGCTTATGTTGATGCTATTTAATCACTCTTTCAGGAGGAAAAAAAAAGCTCTTTTCAAATTGGAAGTCAGCACTGCTGAGGAATGAAGTAGCCATTAAAGAGGACATTGCAGGAACGTCAAGTCTCTCAGGATTTCTTTGCCTAACCTAGAAGCAGCTGATTAAAAGTCAGCTCTCTTATACATGGGTTGTTGTGAGTTTGTTGGTTTTTTTTTTTCATTAGCACAGCTTCCTTGCTTCTCCTCTTGCTGATATTCAGCTTCCCTTGCACTTTGCAGAACTGGAGCAATTGCACCGCTCCCCACAAATCACTGCCCAACCCCACTGCATGCAGAGAAGCACCAAGAGTTTTATCTGCTGCCTTTCCCAGCAGCTGGGCAGCTTGGCACAGCCTGATCCAGGACCCCGTCCCTCCACTGCAGCCTGCAGACGCACCTTCCACACCACTTCTAGGTGCCAATCTGAGACTGCCTTCATTTTCTTTATCTCAATCCTGCACCACAAGCAAGACTCAAATGTATTCAACACCTTGCCCCTGAGTTCTTTAAAACCAAAGCATGAAGCTGAACGCTCCCGCATCAGTGTGCTGCCCAAACCCGGGCTACGGCAAAGCAGAGCTGAAGGCAGGCAAACCTGGCCCTGGCCGCTGGAGAAGCCTCCCAAGGGGATGGGATGGGGAAAAGTGCATGGGAGCTGGCAGCCCCCGCTCCATGAAGGATGTGGGGTTTCTACAGGCAGCTCCCCTCTCTATGCCCACAGCAGGAGCTGTGCAAACCTCACTGAAGGCACCCGGGTCACCAAAACCTTTAATAAAGAATATTTATAGCATATTGAA